AGAGAATTTACTATGGATTTATAGGATTAGTACATAGGAAATAGTATTATGTACCAGATCAATCCATCGGTCCATCTAGCTTAGTAGCCTGACTCCAACAGTGGCAGATGTGTCAGAGGAAAGTGAAAGTATGCAATAATCTGACTATAAAGAAAGTTTCTTCCTTAACCCCCTCAACTAGAGGTTGGTTTGCGCCTAGAAGCATGAGCATTTAATCTTTTCCAAGCTTTTTAGACCTATTAAATATAACTACGTATCTATATATATTTTCTGAACGAATGTCCATTTTTGTGCTGTTCTAGGACTAGCAGTATCTTGTGGCCATACATTCCATTGATTAATTTCATAATGCACACAAAAGTATTTTCTTTTCTCTGTTTTAAATTAGTTGCTTTTCACATTTATTGAATATGTCCTTGTTCTTTTATTAGGGGAAAGAGTAAATACATGCATCCTAGTTATCCTCTCTATACTTTACCATTACTGTACTTATTTTTAAACCTCTAATTAATGAATCAGTATTATTTCCATTCTACTTTGGACATTCCCATTCTGTCTGAGTGCACAAATATGGGGAGCCAGACCTTTTACAGAGCCCCCCCCACCTGAGGCCCTTTGAAAATTTCCCTTCCTGTTTCCCTATAGCCTATGCTGTACAGTGATAATGGAATCATAGAACCATTGGGTTAGAAGGGACTGCAAGGGTCATTTAGTCTAACCCCCTCCTAAAATGCAGGATTTGTTGTGTCTAAGCCAGTGATACCCAGACTCAGGCTCACAAGCTGCAAGTGGCTCTTTAATGTGTCTCCTGAGGCTCTTTGCAGCACATATTAAAACACGGTGTGATCTAATTATTAACCAATCGGGAAGATTTTACTATGTTATTCACTAATTGTAGTTGATAAAATAATACTAACTCACTTTGCTTTGAGAATAATATATGTCAATATAAAAACCAAATATTTCCCGTCATACCGTTTAAATATTAATATATAGTACTATTGTAAATGAAACAATGAATTTACACTACTGTGGCTCTTTTGGATAATATTGATCGCTAATTTGGCTCTTGAACCACTGAGGTCTGAGTATCACTTACCTAAATCATCCAAAACAGGTGGCTATCCAATCCAGCCTCTTTTTGAAAACATCTAGTGAAGGTGCTTACAAGGCCTCTCTAGGTGGTCTGTTCCATTGTTCTACCGTTCTTACAGTTAGGAAGTTTTCTTCCTGAGATTTAATCAAAAGCTGCTGTGCTGCAGTTTGACCCCATTGCCTCTTGTCCTGCCATGTATGGCAGAAGAGAACAACTTTTCTCCAGCTTTTTATGGCAGCCTTTGAAGACCACTATCATACCCCCCCTTAATCTCCTCTTTTCCAAACTAAACATACCCAGTTCCTTCAATCTTTGCTCATAGGGCTTGCATTCCATCTCTTTGATCATCTTTGTCCCTCACCTCTGGATCCTTTCCAGTTTCTCTACATCCTTTCTATCCATTGGTGACCAAAGCTGGACACAGTTCTCCGGCGGAGGCCTAACCAGTGCTGAGTAGGGTGGTACTATCACCTCCCAGAGCAGGGTGATTGAAGGGTTTTATACTATTAACTTATTTAGGCTAGAAAAATTTCTAACTAACAGCCAGACTAGTGACACTCCAGCAGAACTGGATGTACAAAACGTACCTTACTAGCTGTGATGGACACAATGTGCATTGGGAGGGGGAACAGCACCCATGGCTAATACCACCAGACCAATCCGGAGGGGCTGTCCTCGGGATGGAGGGGGGAAGAGAAGCCAGCAGCTCCTGGGGGCGTTCACAGTGGGTCGGAGGTCCTGTGCGGGCCGTGCATTGCCTTATGTCCTCACAGCCGGGTGGTCCCCGGCAGTGCACTTCCCAGCACGACTCCCAAGCCTGCCTGGAGGCTGGTGTCACCGTCCGGCCTGGCTCGGGGCTCCCCGCGCTGGGGACGTGGCTGTAACAGCCGCCCGCGGAGCCTGGCCTCAGTGCCCAGGTGACTGACCGCGAGCCCAGGGAAGAAAGTGCAGCCTCACGCCGGCGCGCGGCCAGTCACGCTCGCGGCGCCTGTGGCCGGAGGGCCGGGTTCAGCGGAGCTGGGGGTGGCATTGACCGGCGGGGAGGGGCGGGGCAGCTCTGGGCTGCTGCGGAGGGCGGGGCCGCTCTGGGCTGCCGGGTACGCGCCGCAGCCCAACACTGTCGGGCGCTAATTGGGGGAATCCCCGCCTACCCGGCTCCTCCGAGGCACGAGGATGACGGGCGCGAGGCAGGGAAGGAGCGGCGCGCGCGCCCTCTCCCTGACACTTTCCCATAGCCTGCGTGCCTGCCAGGAGCGGGGGCGGAGGGAGGGAGGAAGGCGATCCTGATTGGTTGAGCGCGGAGCGCTGGCCCCTCCCCCTCGCCGAGGTGAAAGGGCAACCAGGGCTCCGGCTGGCAGTGGCGATGGCGGCGTCCTTGCGCCAGGTGGTCGCGGGCAGCTGGCGGCAGCCGGAGCGACACCTGCTTGCGCTGCAGGTGAGCGGGGAGCCGGGTTAGCGCTAGCGGCGGCCGGGCCCGAGCGCCCTTCCGGCGCCTCCCGGAGCCGCTCGCGCCCGCGGGCGATGCACGGGCGGTGAGCCGAGTCCTGCGCCCCAGCGGGCGTCGGCGTCTGTGGGAGCCCCCGGAGGACGCGTTACGGGCTGTGGCAGGAGCCCGTGGGAGCAGCGCTGAGCGAGCCTGTCGCCGCCCTTATCTGGGGCCGGTGAGAGACCAGCGGCTCCCTCCGAAGGGGCCAGGCCTGGGGATTGTCTCCGGGATCTTGTGCCAGGTGCCCCTTCCCTGCCCCAGGGAGCTGTAAGGGTTGTCCACGTTTTTCTGGGCTGTGACAGGCTAGACCCGGCCAGCTGGTGGGAATAATGTTAAAATGGGCTTCAACTTTCAATGCCCTTCCTTCAGGAGTCTGCTTGTTTCTCCGGACAGCTCTGACTGCCATGGTGCCTCTCCTTTCAGATTGGTGTGTGTGTGTGTGTGTGAAATGAATTACTCTTCTCATATGAGACTTGTGGCTTCTGGACATTCCAGTCAGGATTGGGGGATGATTGTGTCAAAGGTTGTGCATAAGCTAGTTTTCAAAAAGAAAAACCAAGTTATTTGTCTCACTTCTATGTACTCCATAAAAACTAATGGATAATCTCTCATTTGTTGCACAACGAGTAGCAATTATGTGAAATGCTGTGCAAAAATATTAAAATTCTGTTATAAGATATTTCATGCATCAGCTGTTTCTGAACAGAGGCATTCATCTAGAGAGGCCTTGAAGATCCTTTAGAAAGGAGGGAGGAGGAGAAAAAGGGTAGATCTTGGAAAGAAACTTGCAGAAGGGAGGGAGGGATAGCTCAGTGGTTTGAGCATGGGCCTGCTAAACCGAGGGTTGTGAGTTCAATCATTGAGGGGGCCACTTAGGGATCTAGGGCAAAAATCAGTACTTGGTCCTGCTAGTGAAGGCAGGGGGCTGGACTCGATGACCTTTCAAGGTCCTTCCAGTTCTGTGAGATAGGTATATCTCCATATATTAGAACAAAGCATCTGCCTTGTATAGCCCTTAGAACTTGTGAGCTCTGCAGAATAGTGCACCACCTAAATGCTGGGCCAATGGAAGGGATGAAATGTGAATGCCTGTGATTCTTGAAGGCAAATTGCCTTGGAGTGGATATCTGAAGTAGTCAAGGGAGAAAGCGCACCTGAAAGGGGACCAAAGCCACGATTTACCTGATCAGCAGAACTCTGAGCTCTGCAGAATAGGAACCTTCTCCAGTGTTGTACCTCTTAAGGATGGTGGCAGCAAAGCTGCCATACTGCATACCTTAGGAGGCATGCAGGAGAGGAGACTTCTGTTGTCTGATAGAAGGTCTGCAGAAGCTGGGTGAATAAGCATGGCTGTGGCCTGGATGTAGCAAATCAGAACAGATAAAAGCCTCCCTCCCATCCCCATTTGGGAGCCAGGAAGTGGAAGATTTCTTAGGAATAAATGGTAGAGTGAGCAGCGTAGAGAACTTGGTACATGTCCAATGGAGCATGAAGCTCCACAGAAGCTTATGAGCTTCCAAGGGCAGGCATCTTCCGCCAAGGGTGAAAATAATTTATAAGAAAAAAAACAAGTTAATAGGTTACATTAATGAGAACTTTATTGAAGTGCACAGTGTGAATTCTTACAAAGATCTCTTATACTTTAAGATACATGTTCATGATAGTAAGTATATAACTAGTGAGGCATATAATGAAAAACTAGTCTGTCACTGACATACTTAAAATAGGATTCTAAGCAAAATAGGAGAACATTGGAGACCTTAGTTTCTTGCTCTAAGTGTTGACATATAGTATAGCTGATAGTATTAGGTCAACAAGGATAATGGAGGGAAACCTGTAATTGAATGTGAAATGCATTATGGATTGGCAGAAGCTTGCCATAATTAAGATTGAAGTTTATAAGCTACAAAGTCCATTACAAATCCAGTTTTTAAACACCACGTCCAAAAAGGGGGAAATTTAACTTGGATCTCCCATATCCCAGGTGAGTGCTCTAACCACTGGGCTAAGTTATAACATGGGCACTGCCTCCGTCTCCTCCAGCCAGGTGTTTGAATGGGCCCTGATCTGGTAGGGGGCCTTTGAGCATGCCTATTGGATTGGGCCCCGTATGTGAGACAGGCTCTCTAAATCTATCTTTCCACAGTTTGTGGATTGCTCTGGGGTTTAGGGGGGGAAGATAGGTGTCCCAGCACCAAGAGCGAGTTAGCGGTGCACATGCCCAGAGGGAGCTCTTGCGGTAGAAATTGAGGTGCCAATGAGTCTAGGTGCCTACAGCCAAGCAGGAGTTTTGTGGATTGCAGTGGTGCCTAAGGCCATGTTTATGCTAGACATCTTGGTTGGCACAAGTTCTCTTGGTGTAGAGCTGCTGCAGTTAGTGTATTGCTCATGCATTCTTGGTTCATTGAATTGGTGCTTTGTGTACTCACCAGGAGTGCCTGTGTTGATGCACCATGTGCAACTTGCCATTGTCTGGCGCATGGTCTTTTGAGAAACTTTGGCAATGCATGGTGGGACAGAAACAAGTTGTGTGGGAGTGATTGGGAGCAAGGGGTCAAGTTCCTATCATGCAACTTCATCTATTTCTTAATTTTCATGCCTTTATTAATAAAAAAAAAAAATCCTGCGAAACTGCACAGCACTTCCTGCTGTCAGTCGTCTCTAAAAGAACCATGAAGCTCACACAGCTCTGCACTGTTGACATGAGTGTTGCAAACACAGGACAGACAATCCTCCAGTATTTGTAGAGCCATAGAAAGTAATGTCCTTTGCTGCTAAAGTTGTGTTTCATAGAGGATAGATTGCTGAGGGACCTAGTGAAAACCAATTCAAGATTGTTGATAGCATTGTAGATCAGCTGCAGGTGGAGAAGAGCTGCTTCTGAGCCTGAGAAACCAGCATTAACTGGTGGGATTGCATTGTAATGCAGGCTTCGGATGATGAGCATTGGCTGCAGAACTTTCAGACCCAAAATGCCATGTTCCTGGGACTGTGCTGAGGTTGCTGCTGCTGTCCCGCTCAGGGACACTGGATTGAGAGCTGCACTAGCAGTTGAGAAGTGAGTCGCGATCGCTCTGTGGAAGTTTGCAACCCTGGATTTCTACCAGTCAGTGAGAAATCATTTTGGATTTGGAAATCCACAGTGGGGACCCTTGTCATGCAAGTGTGTAGGGCCATTAATTGTTTCCCGTGCCTGCTATACAAGTGTCTCTTTTGGTAGTATGCAGGAGATGGTGGAAGGATTTGCAGCAGTGGGATTCCTGAACTGAGATGGGGTGATAGAAGGTGCACACATCCCTATTTTAGCACCAGCTCACCTTGCACAGAGTGAATCAACAGAAAGGGCTACTCTTCTATGGATATACAAGTGCTGATGGATCACCAGGGATGCTTCACCAGCATCAGTGTTGGCTGGTCAGAGAAGGTGCATGATACTCTAATCTTTAAGAATTCAGGACTGTTCAGAAAGCTGCAAACAAGGATGTTCTTTCCTGACCAGAGGATTTGGCATTTCAGTGCTACAGTGATCATGGGGGACCTAGCTTACGCCTTGCTTCCCTGGTTCATGATGCTGCACACTGGCCACCTCAACAGCATCAAGGAAAGATTCAAGTGCTATCTCAGCAGGCGCAGAATAACTGCAGAATGTGGTTTTGGTAGATTGAACTCGCCCTATACAATAACATGGCTCTTAAAATAATAAATAATAAAACAATAAAACTTTGACTCTTATTCCCAGGGGTATGAGTATAGGGCAGTGGCACTATTTTCCACAGGTGGTGGTGATTTTAGCTGATATCTTGCTCTTAAGGGTAACAAAGATGTAGAGAAAACAGCTGTAGCTGACATCATGAAGCCACCTGGCCCTGTATGCTGCTGGCTTGTTTACTTCTATGGTGCTAGCCAAAGTCATTGCAGACTGGCACGTTACTGTTGAGGAAGAAATAAAGTTACCATCCCTGGAAACCTTTGGCAGAGGATTGCAGTATAGCTCTGTGAAAATTTTATCAAGATCTCTCAAGGGCTGTCCTTGTGTACATAAACTGCTCTGGGGAGGGATAGCTCAGTGGTTTGAGCATTGGCCTGCTAAACCTAGGGTTGTGAGTTCAGTCCTTGAGGGGGCCACTTAGCGATCTGGGGCAAGAATCTGTCTGGGGATTGGTCCTGCTTTGAGCAGCGTGTTGGACTAGATGACCTCCTGAGGTCCCTTCCAACCCTGATATTCTATGATTGCCTCCTGGCTAACTTTATGTGGGAAAGCAGATACCAACTCTGCCTCTGTTGTACTGCTACCTGTTCTAGTATGAGTACATTAATGAAAAATCAATACTCATGTCCTGCTATGTAGGGGTTGGGCTTCATCTGTACATTTAAACATTGAACAGGAAGGGTGGTTTTCCTTTAAATCAAATTAGTGATTTAAATCATGATTTAAATCACTAGTCAGGAAGACTTGATTTAATCATGGATTTCAATAAGAATGCACTTTTATGTAGGTTGTTATAACCCTAATACATATTCTTCACAACTCGGAGAGAGAGGTAGGTTTCATTTTTAGAAGGCACACACTATACATTTTTAAAGTGATTTATTTTGAAAACTTTTCAGATCAGTTTTACAGCTATATTAGAAAATGAATGATTGTTTGGTTATATTCATTTACTGAAGGTAATTGAAGCAGATACACCTCTACCTCAAGAAAATGCTGTCCTCGGGAGCTAAAAAATCTTACTGGGTTATAGGTGAAACTGCATTATATCGAACTTGCTTTGATCCACCGGAGTGCGCAGCCCCGTCCCCCCGGAGCACTGCTTTACCGCGTTATATCAGAATTCATGTTATATCGGGGTAGAGGTGTATTTATGAAGTCATTGGATGGTGAACTATCTCCAGTTCAACAGGTTAATCATTAATATTTGGAGGATTTTCTTGCCATGCTGTATTAGGAG